AACGAAAATTTGCTTCACTTCGAATAATCAGTTCCAATTCGAGCAGCAGTGACGTTCAAGTATTTTTGATTATGTATGTGTGATTTCACAAATGTACGAAAATTCAAGAGCAGTTGTTTGAAAGGCATCGAAAAACGGATGATGTTTACGCTCGTTGTTAAGCACTTTCCAAATCATATAATCCCCGTCACATGCAGCTCACTGAGAGTGTATATCTTACACTTGTTAAAAACGCTTTTTTCCTCTGATCTTGAATTTTGTAAACGATTACTTATTGGTCACCGTCGTAAGTTCACTTTCTTCTTTCTGATCATCTTCTTCGTCAAATGACTCGGCACTTTTAATTTTCACTTCTCTCGAGAGGTTTGTCTGTAGACATTTGACATATTTGTAACTTCTTTTGAATTGCCCTCAGCAAGTTGATTGATCATTTACGTTTCAATATGAGTGAGGAAAGTGAATCAGAAATATCTGAATGTAAAGAGGCCATTGTGCATTCATCCGACTAATTCGATCATTCGTTATGAATTGTCAATGTGATTGCATCGCTTTTATAAAACATCAGTTTGTTTCAAATTACCGTGTTCTTTCAGTGCCTCAACACCTTTACAATCAATCAACCATTTATTTCATCAATTTCTTGTTAAACATTATAGAACATNCCGACTAGACAAGCTAATAAATTCCATGACATTGGTTCAGACGAACGAATGAATTGTACCGATCAATGTTCATCTGCAACAGTTTTATTCATCGTCAGTTTACAATTGATTTGTAGTTTTATGGCGTCTTTCTTCGTGAGTTCGTTGTGGATTTGTTTTCTTTTCAGTAAATTAGTAATGTGATCCTCTTTCACGAACAAGCGAATATCTTTACAACTTTCTGTTTGCTTTTCTATCGCACAGCTGTTTTCAAAATAATAATATACAGGACGTCATCACTTTTTCGTTATAAACAGTCAAAGCGAATTTTCGTTATATTTTATTAATACAACTACTTTTGTTGAAAAGTTAAAGCGATTCATTTTCTATAGTCCTTTATGAGGTCTCAGTTCTTCTAAGAAATGCCTCTTCCAATGAATTCGTTTCGGTTCTCCAACTTTTTTTACCGTATTGATTTGCGTTCCATCAAAAATTCTTTCACAAATTGGATTCTTGAAATTCATCAGCATTTCCCAATAACTGTGCCACATAATTTTCTTCGGTCCCGTCTTTTCTATGCATCAGAACGTTTTCGTGACATTTTATCCGTGGAAATGTCGTTTCATTGAACTTTGCATGTTATTCACTGCATTGAATAATTGTAAAAGTGCAAATTACAGCGATATGATTTAAATGATTTCTGAGTAATCGACTATCGTCAACCAACGAATTTCGTCGTGCTGATTGAATTGCATCTCTCGGTTGTCCTCTCCATTTACCGTAATTGAATCCAGCAACTTCACTCATTTCAACATTTTCACTCAATTCACCTATCCAATTTCATTGTTTTCAGTTTCAGTGTTGTGACCGATATGAGCAGAAAAGTGGTTCTGCCAATCTTTGCTTACTTTGTTAAACTATGAGCCGTTGTTGTTTAGAAGTTCAAAAAGCAGAATGAGCACAAATTTTATTGTTGACCAAATGAAGGCACCAAATATATTCAGCGAAGCACTTGGATGGCAGCTTCAGGGCACATTCAGCACCACTTGTTTTGTGATCGCATTTCATAATTCCCCTCATCGTTCATTCCGTAGTCACCACTGTTCTCGGTTTTTGCACTATCCCGTTGTGGCCTGTCTGTTGTCCTTTCGCTGTGCACAGTCAACATTCGTCGTTCCTGTCCAGCAAAAGCATCCATAAAATATCACAGATTAAAACTCGTCAGAACAATTGTGCTTTTGGATTTCTCAATTGAACCATTTGTCATAGTTGTGAATCACTTCATATCATATCTCCACAGTCATACTATGGCAGTCAAATGCTTCNAAATTTCAGTGAAAGTGCGGCCCCATCAACACGTCGGATATCTCCGTCACGTCGTGACAGAACTTCTCGACTGCATCCACAAGACACATCTCGCGTACCATCCATTCAGAGCACTTCTTATCCATCCAGTTATCACCATTACTCACGCGAGACCACCTTTGGCGTAGAAGAAGACGGTACTTGGAAGCCCGTTCACAATATGTTCATTAACGGCAATGTTCAGGTAAGATCAATTAATAACTGCCATTCTAAACGATAATTCAAGAATTACTCATCGCGATCACATTCTGTTTTATTCTGGTTTACAACGATGCGTCATCATGTCGACGTTTATTTTTAATTCTAATTTCTGAGGTTTTTTCGTAATTCTATCCCTCACCTAGTGGTATATAAATGCATGATACAGTTCATGATATGTCAGTGAGTTATTTGAGACTTCCTATCATGAGTTGGCATGTTTCTCTAATGGATATCCATCCACATTTCATAAAATTTGTATTCACCGACCACTCTGGAATCGTTTTGATTATTAACCTTATCAAGTGAACAACAATCATCTTTGTCTGTTACAAGTTCGGCTATTGTGTCCATGAGAAGAGTGTTGACATCTTGATGATGACATTTTTAGCGCTGTCCATCATAGCAGTGTAATATTTTTGATCTCATTACTGCTACCTATTTAAGAAGTAGTTTTCGTTTGCTCTCCTGATTAGAAGTGCAATTTGTGTTCTCGGCGAATAGTATTTTCTTTTTGTCCGCCTGGTACAAATTTTATTGAACTTTTAGGGAGTGGCAGCAGTGTATGATGAATTTGTAACACTTCCGAATGCGGAAAACTCTGCAAATTTATTTTGAACGTACACATTTTTCGAATGAATGACAAGAAAATGAATATTATGTAAAAGGTGACTTAAATAAGATGTAATATGAATACTGTCCGTAGTCTCTCAAGCGTTCGCTCAGACCGGTTTTTTTCTCGAAACGAGACACAGTTTCGTAAATTATTTGTCTAGAAAACACTCGTCACTGTTCAATTGACTACGAATCTACTGTTATGTAATATCTTCGGTAAAAATTCTCTTCTCAAGTATTATAAGTAATTTTATTTTTGTGATGAACGGTCCGCTGTTCATTTATTGCATTCATTTTCCTTGTCGTATAGTTCCGTCTTGACCTGTGTTCACTCGAGTCGTTACAGTCAATTAGCTGTTACCTGAGCGTTTGCAATGAATCATCTTTTTTTCATATTTCGTTGTTGATCTGCGCTTATTGATCGGTCAGATTCGATCCATTGACGATTAAAAAAAGCCTAGATTTCATTTTCATTTGAGAGTCTGATGTATTTCTACGAAATCGCGTATTTATCACGTGTTGATGTTTCGTCTGTGCTTGTAACTGGTTTGATGTCGCTAATTTTCATCAATTCTTTAAGCACGAGCAAATGAATGATCTTTTTGAGAGGACAAAAACGATGCGGAGTATCAAATTTGAGATGTTGCGGGAGAAATTCAATCAGAAATTAAAACCGTACGAAAAGGTTCATTCTTTTCTATTGCTTCCTTCGTGAGTCATCCTTCTTCGTTGCCGCTGCAAATCAAACGCTTTGCTCAATTTTAAAGATTTGTTTTCGTTATGAAATGTTCACCTTATTCTCAAATCACCAATTTCATCCTGCAACAGTGACTTAACTGGCTCAGTATTAGCTAAAATAATACGTCCCAGTATCTCTCATAATAGATCAAAATCGCGATTACGGCATAAACTAAACGAATGATACAATTGTTCACGACGTGTGACATGAGGCCTCGAGGGAATTCTTGACCAATAAGTCGTTTTTCACTGTTTTGAATGAGTATATCGCCGCTGACTTATTTGAAAGCCTCTCGCACGCTGATATATTCTCCGCATTTTTGCACTTTTCATAACTGAAAGATTCCATATTCTCTCACGGAATGCCGTCATTACTAAAATCATATATTTGTGCATCTCATTCTAAACGTGAGATTCTCTGCCACTGATCTCAGTAGAAAGCTATTTTAGGATTCTTTATGAAGCTCAGCACTTTCTTGATCGCACGAGCATTGTTCAGTTGAATAAATAATGCGCATTCAGTTGAATCGTGTGAAAAGTTTTAAAGCTCGTAATATTGATTTCTTTGCGTGAAAGGGTCAGTTTTTATTTTGAGTCATACATGAACGAGTGTTCATGAATAAATGATGATGTCTTCTGGTTGAGTGGATGTTTGAATAGGTTTACTTCAATTAAAAATTCAGCTTATTCACATGCTAAATTGTCGAATTTATTCCTTTAACGTAACATTCCAACAATGCTCTTAGTTCAGCAACTGTGGTCGTTTATCATTGATTAACTCGTGCAATATTTATGAGTGCCATTCTTGGATTGCGTACTTGCCTGCTGCTTCAATCATAGAACAGCTATACAAAGCAACTTATTTGCACAGAAATCACTATTGCAAACTTTTCTCCTCGTTAACGAATTTTGCAGTGATCTCGCAGTTCGCATGGCTTTGCGGAATAAGTGCTATTGTGTGTAAGGGTTTCAAAAAATTTGAAATATTTATCACGAGATGTGATTCATTTTAACCGTTAGTGCTTTCATGCACTCTTGAATTGATCTCGGATTCTCCTGTCACTCTCAACAATCCATTCGCAATCTGAAATTCATCATGATTGCAAGAAATTTCGCCGCAAAATACCTGTAAATCTAAATGGTATTTTGCTGAATCGAACATTTGTTCAAGCAAACAGAAGATTGAGTCGTTGAGTAATTGGCATTGAGTCATTGGTCGTAATGAGTCCGAATACTGGATTTGATAGAATTTAGAATCATTTCTAATCCTACAGTTTTTGTATTGTCAAGATGATGCAAACGAATCGGTTAACTTAAGGCGTGCACATCTGCATCGGTTCATCATCCGATCCCGAACGGTCATTTAACGACGAACGGTTATCGCAAATCAACGAATACAGCAAACCTTTTGAACGGTTCCTCTTCACCTTCGAACACTCTGAATGGCTTCGTCGTCAATGGAAATCCTATCAATCGGTTCGTGCCGAACGGTAATATTGGTGGTACTTCGCCCCTTCGAGGCCATTCGCCTCGAGATATCACTTCTAATGGCAAACTTCAAATCAGCAACTCCCCTCGCTCATCGGTTGCCAGGTGAATCACTCAGAATTTTAAATTTTTTTCGGGAAAATCTGATGAAAACCGCATTATGAACATTCACGCAGATATCTTTCGATGAATAATCTCAATCGGTATTGTTCACTGATTGAGCCAGTCCAATTATATGTTAGACTCTCACAGCCATACTCTCACAATCAGTATGTATAAATAACTTGTGAGATTTCTCTTCTTGTTTCAAGCAGCGACTTTGTCAGTAATATTTCATGCGTTAGGCGAGACTGCAAGCACGTTTGAGATGCAACGTCAAATGAGAATTTTGAAAAATATGTTTTCTGCTCACAACTGAAAAGGTTATCACTGGAATTGAGCAGTCGTTGTCATGGAGTGAGGAAAAATTGATCGCTTAAGAAATTCGATCGAACCATAGGGATTATATGAGTGACAGTCGAACACTGAAATGATGAGATTTCACGTGCATGNTCGTTGTTCATGGAGGGCAAATCATGCATTCCACGAAATTTCATCTTGAATGATGTTGATAAGCTTGCTTTTCGATGATTTCAGTTGACATCATTCTGTGTGTATGTCTTTCGAGGAAGTGTGCTCTTTCAGTTGAATTAATTATTGGTGATTGAAAGGAATTTCTCTTAGAACTGATTAGGTAATTTGTCAAGAGCGTTCAACGAATCAGTCGAGCACAGCAAATTCTGAGTAAGCTTAACGAGTGCGCACAGCAAAAACCTTCATCTATTATATTCCAAAATTTTTTCGCACAGTTCAGAAAGCTTTTCATAATTCACATCATGCCATTTCAATGTAAAAAGTGATACTCAAGAAACGAATAGGCAAATATGCAAGTGAAATGCTAACGGAATTCGAGTTGAGACGATCGAATAAAAATTTATTTTGAATTGCGCTTCCGCGAGACATTTGCTGAGAATACGCTGGTGGTGTTGAAAAATGATCGATAGTGATCAATGACTGTTCGATATTGGCCTCCTAAATGACGTTCAACAATGTGTAATAATTTTATTATGAAAAAAATCATTCGAAAAGACGATGTGGCGCTCAAAAATTGAGTTTAAAGTTCCATTCGTCGAAGATGTTCTTATCGGTTCATTCTCAACTTAAATCTCTGCTTTCAGCCATTCGTCGGTAGGTTCAACGAAAAATGTTCAAAACGGTAGCTGTGCAAGTCCTCCAAGAACCAAACAACACTCGCCAAGACAGGTTCGTTTATCAGACTCAAATTCGTCTCTCATTGCTGCTCTGCATAATCTAGTCTCGCAAGTCATCTGTCTCTTATAANGAAATTATCAATCATTTTAGCGCATTTGATCTATTAGCTTTACATTAATGTAGGAAAAATTAAGTGCGCTTCCTCACAGGAAATCGTAAAATGGGTTCAATGCCAAGGAAATTTATGAGATATGGTTTTGTGTTCATCAAATGGAATGTTGATTACTGCTATTGCGATGTGTGTTCGTGAAATCTGGTCTTTTATTTTATGGAGTGATCAATAATCGCTAACCGACTAGTTGATTGCTATTTGATTGTTTGGATGTGAATGAGAATTACTCTTGCTTTACGGTTGGCGAGGAGAATAAGTTGATATTGGTATTGGCGATTTATCTAACTGAACGCCTTACATATCAGCGAATGTCATTGGGAATTCAGTTTGGTAGTACAAAAGAGGCAATTCTAAGAGCTAATCGCATTCCATTGATTCATTTCTATCTCATTTGATGAATCACTTCGATTGGAACAAATGTATTTGAAGCGAAAATTATTGAACGAAGAAGTTCTTTTTGAGCAGCTGTAGTAGTGAAGTGCAAACGAGGTTGATGCTTCAGAGAAGTGCAAAAATGACATCAGAAAGCATTCTCAGTCGTTTCTAAGCAATCCACAAACTGTAAATAGAATCTGGTTTGCGTCGTTGAATCTCAGAATGGTTGCACTTAATTCTTAATTAATTCAAAGAATGAGTCAGTCCTATCAATGCACACAGTTTCAGTCACCACCAATTAGTGAAGACGGCTTAGTGGTAGTTAGAATGAAGCCGGATTCACAAGGTCGATTCGGTTTTAATGTGAAGGGCGGTGCTGATCAGAATTATCCAATTATTGTGAGTCGAGTTGCGAATGGTAGCGCTGCAGACAGATGTAATCCACGGCTGAACGAAGGCGATCAGGTAATTCTGATGATTTGCTGCGTTTTCGTCATTACATCAGTGAGTATGCTTAAATGAAGTGAATGCAACTGAGATAAAGTCAACTTGAGACAGTCAAAATTACACGAATCTGTGACTTTATGAATACTTTTTACGGGCGAATCAATTTCGTTTGTCGCCTTCGAATGCCAAATATCGAAAGGTGTTCGTTCGCGTTGTTCGATTAGTTTTAAGCAGATTCAAGGCGAGTACCAACGATGCATTTGCGAATGATTCAGGTACTTATGATTAACGGTGTTGATGTGACGTCAATGGCTCACGATCAAGTCGTTCGTTTCATTCGTTCAGTACGAGAAACAATCAAAGCTGAACTCGTCCTTACCATTCGACCTAACGGTAATCTTTCGTCGACTCATAAGTGTTTGCAATGGCTCTTCGTTTATCCAGAAGTGTCTTCTCCATCAATACTTTAAAATTACAACTGAAACGAACTGTCGATATCGCTGAGTCGTTAAAAATAGCATTGTTATATATTTCACGTTAAAATCCTTATGATTTGTGATCATACTTGACATTTTTGCAGTTTATCGATGTGGTGATGAAATTGAAGAACCCGATGTGATTTGTGTTCCTGAAACGCCACACGTATCATCTTCAGTTCCGCGATCCGATCTTCTCTCACAATCCTTGTTACTTCTTAAAGAGTCACTTGTATCGGGAAAAGTTATCTCACAATTTGATGTTCGTTTGTTTTCCCGTCTTGTTCGCTTCTTGCAAACAGTTCTTTTGAAGCCAATGCTTCGTTTATGGAAGCGATATTTTCATTGATGAACTAAAGCAGAATCCTTTCATTCATTCGATCCGTTCAGATATCTTCTTTTCGTATTTCAGTTCTAGATGTTATGCTTTAAGGACTGCAGTTGAACGCATCGTATTCGTTGCACATCACTTAGAACCGCAATTTTGATGACGCATTCTCATAACCTCTCTTTTGTGAACATAACTTGTTATAGTTGACAGAATAATTATTCACAAAAATTTAATGATATCTTTTCATTCTCTTTTCATCGCACCATCCTCCAGAAATCAGCTCATGCATCAGTCATCAGCTAACGCGCGCTACACATTCACATTGGCGAGCGATGAATCGTTCCAGTGATCGAAAAATTCACAGGGAATTATGATTTTACATATGAATTGCAAATGCTATTCAATTCTAGTGGATAATAGATACTGTAGAGTTTAGACTGATAAGGTATGAAATGAATGAATTTGTTGTTGCAATTTTCAAATTCATTTTAATGCATGATGCGGTGATATTGAAATGATTCCATGCAAAAAGAGGGGTTTCTACTATTTTGGCACATCCGCAAAGATTAAGTGATGTCTAGCTTAAGAAGGCAAGCATCAAAGGCGGTGTGCTGAGATGAAGAAGTGAAATTAGTTGTTCGATACGTGAATGATGGGAGAGATTTTCTTTTTGCTTTTGATTTAATGCTCTGACAGATGTCTTTTGAGATGAAAGTGCTTACTAAATATTGCGCACAATTTCCGAAATTCATAAATATCAGCATTATTCGATGAACATGCATAATTTGAGGGCCATTATCCCATCGATTAAGTTCTTCTCACCATGACCAGCAAACAACAGCCAACCGGCATTTCTGTTTTATGTCATTCCGTTGCACCGTTCTGTGAAACGCTCAATAGCGCATTCGGATGTTCGCATTCTTTTGAATAGTTTTGCAGAATATAATTTTTTGAAATATTTCTGCCAGAAATTTTACAGTGACAATTTCTTCTACTTCTCTCTCACATATTTAGTATCTAATTCTATGTTCCGATAAGTGCATTCGCATA